TTTTCTGGCGTTTTCACACTTTAGACCTGAATGAGGAATATCTAAGATCAAATAATTGTAATCTTTATAACATTCAATCAAGTACGACTGAGTAGTGAGTTCGATCAACTACTGTTCCATTTTACGGACACATCTAAGCTACGATTATTAAATCACTATATATATAGGATAGATAGAGATGGAGAGTGAGACAGAGATTTTAATAACAAACATGAGTGAATGAATGTCAAATTGTCTCTAGAGAGAGAGATTCTGACTTAAGGAAAGAGAGAGAGAAAAATAAAAAGAGAACAAAATAAGTAAAAATTAATTGGCGGAATATTTCAACTTATGAAATTTCTCTTTGCAGAATCTGACAATATTAAGAAGCTCTAATCGTAAATTATTATTTTTACTTAATCTGAAACAAGATGAGAATTCAATTATTCTGTGTGGATCGCATTCTAAAGCAACTTTCTCTTTCAACCCATTCTTGTTTACTCTCTATATGATGCCAGAAGGAGAATTCAAGCATATATATCGGAAAATGTCGAAGTAAGAGACGATTGAGATTCAAAAACGAAATCTCAGTGGTTCATCGTTCAAATTTCAGAAAGTGTTTAAAAGCTTTCGGATCCATTTTTGGGCTATTTGAAGGCGATTGAGTGACTTTCCATTATGGGTAATCTGGTTGATTTTGAGAAAGGGGTTCTCAAAGAACACTCTAGAACTCATTTGAATGCCTCACACAAAATCTTTAGATCAGATTTTAAAATCGATGAAACGACAAAAACATCTTTTCTTTTCAGCCAATTTCAGAAAATCTATTCTATTGAGGCCTGGTATTCAACACATTACACGGTCTGAATATATAATATCTTTTTTTTTTTGTTACGTCGATTGCACCGATAAGTTATTATTCAATTTTGTCTTGTGACTTGGCTTTATATAGACTGCATTTAAAATCTCTAAGGCAAACTTACATGGGTAAAATACCAATTAATTTTAAACCATTTTTACAAAACGAAAAAAAAGCAATTGTGAAAAGCCTGAAAAGTAACAGAGCTATCCGTTCTTCTATGGGAGAGGCATTGTCCACAATGAGTTCTTGCCACTGCGCGAGATGATCAATCAGTAAGTTTAAAAAGATCCTTGGCGTTTGATTCGCTCCGTGTACCGAGCCAGAAGGAGCGTTGTGGCAGGACAAATGGGGTTTAATGGTGAAATTGCCCTGGAAGGGAAACGACCCTCAGCATCCGGAAAGGACAAATGACAGAGAAAACATTGCCGTTTGACGTTAAATTCCTCGTTTGATCTTATCTTGCTCCGTGTGTATTTTTTTTTTCTAAGTTAATGGGGATCATCAAACGTACTTGTTATGAAGGCGTGAGATCCATCAATTGGACCGTAACGACAGGCCTGTGGGGGTATAAAAGAAGAATCATTCAAGCGCTCAAATAGAAGTGTGAAAGCAGAGAAGGATGTAAAAAGTGAATTAGACTTAATTTCTTTTACTTTGAAGGGGAAACCATCTTAGTTTGTTGTTTGGAATTGAAATAAATTATTTTTGACCAAAAGTCCCGTTTACTGACAGATCACCTCATTTATTGAACTACAAAGGAGACAGGACGAAAGCACAGAGTAACCTCCTTGACGGGTCGCATTTTAAAGTAGAATTACTGGGATTGAGAGAAATGACAAAAGACAAAACTAATTAAGAGCTAGAAAGGGTAGGAAGATGGGGACAAATGATATTTTAATCTTTTACAGTAGGGACACGTCACAAAGAAAAAGAATTGATTGAGTACCCTCAAAGTGATCAATTTTAAAATACAATAAATCTTTCAACACTAATATATATTCTTATATGTATAAGAACGTATATTTAACGAAGCCTGACGATAAAATGTTCAGTAACATAAATATAATGAACATTTGGTTTCTTTTATGAAACCATTGTTCTTTCATTGTCAAATAAAAAAAGTTGGTAAACGGTACCTAGACTCTGACTTCCAACCTGGGAGAAGGATATATTCGTATATATTTTAAACCCTTCAATACAGAAATCAACTTTTGGCATCATGGTGCGGGATTAACATAATTAAGAATTATCGTTCATCAATACATTTTGGAAAGAGATTTTTTAAAAAAATATATTGATAATTCGATTGCGGTGTGTTTAAAAATTTATATTGAATTTTAAAAACTATCTTCTAGAATCTTAATATTGCCAGAACTTGGTCGTGCACAAATCTTAAAGAGAATTACTCTGCGATGCGATCGAAACAGATAAAACCCTTTTTGCTATATCCATATTCTAAAAAAATAATTTCCGAAAACTGAACATTCTTGCCGCAGTGATTCATTTTCTTTTTTCAAATTCACCCTAAGGAAAACATTAAAGCCACTAAGGGAGAAAGGGTTACTTGGTGTGAAAGAATTAGAAAACAGAAAATATTATGTAAGAAATGAAAAAATAGAAATGTAATCAAGGAGACAGTACATAACGATTGACATTGCATTTAAATTTTTGAAGATCGAAAGTGTCCGGAAAGCAAGAAGCCGAAAGAGAATCCCACAGGCGGGAAGTGTGAGGAAAGAAACCGTTAGCATAGAACTTACGGTTACATCTAGACATTTCAACTCTAAGATGATGAAACCTTTTTGCTTGTCTAATACTTCGCCTAAATTCATAAAGTCTAGGTACCATAGCAAAATGTTCATACCATGAAAATATTTATATAAAAATGATGTAACCTAGGGAAGGTTACAGAATAAAATAATCACACGAAGGTTGGTAATGAACAATAATACTTAGGACAAGAACAACACATATAAGATTCGCCAGTGGCGCGTAGAAATAGTCAACTGCTAGAAGTGATTCAAGTGAATTCCACAATGAATCTCTAACTGCAGGATATCTACCAACCGCTCCACGCGGTCAGATGTGGCACAAGGCTGAATTTAATGTGGGTTATTCGAGCCCGTAGGTTCTGCCAAATATTCCTCGCAGACCCCGTATAAAACGGGGTCGGGTAGCTGTTTTTCGAGACGAGACTCTGACCTTCGACAAAGTCTCGTCTGGAAATCCTGTCTGCCCGGAGGCAGAGAGATTGACAAGCTGGAGACGAATCTCCAACTACAGACCCACAGTGTTTACTACTGTATTTATATGAATGGAGACATATCCATTATCGTCCGTATGTATGCTACAACAAAAATCGCAGACAAGCAACTTTACCGTGGTATGAAAATGGCTGGAGCCGAGACGACAGGTCAGGACCAATAATATTGCTGTTTCTTCTTTGGTTTTTATCAAGAATCTCTAAAAATGTAGCAGGATTCACCGGACCAAATGTGACATCAATATTCTAAGCATGGTTGAATGGTAGACTAAGATTGATTAGACAGCGAACCAACTTTCTTAGCAGCAGATATAACAACATAATTATTCAAAGTAGCCATTTTTAAATTTATACAACATGCACTCTGTTACATCTCAAATGGCCTCTGATAACTAAGTCCAACTGAAAAACCAGATACTTCGGGTAGATGGAATATGACAGCAAGTAAAGCAATTCATTTAGGCGAAGGATAACCCTGATTTTAAAACTCCGCTGCCTTGTGTTAATATCCAATTTCAGTCTAGGGAAATACAGTGGAACCTCGGTTCACGAACTTAATTCGTTCCTGAAGCCCGTTCGTAACCAGAAATGTTCGTTAACCGAAACTATTTTTCCAAAAGTATTCAATGTAAAATGGATTAATCCATTCCTGGTCCCAAGATGATTGCTTATTTAAACTTTGACAACAGTACTTTGGGCACAAGTTTATACACAAAACTAATGAAAATCATTAAATTTAAGAAAAAATAAATAAACCCAATAGTAAATAGATAAAATATATAAGAACACTTTAATTTTACCGTGCTTGTAAGTAAGATAGTTGATGGTGTAAGGGGAAAGAAAGAGAAAAAGGAAAAGGGGAAGGAAAGACATGATCGTCTCTTTATAAGAATAGTATAGATTGTTGATTTTGCCATATGAAACTGAGTAGGAAGAGACAATATCATCAACATTTTTTTTTCTCTTAACTTTTCTTTTACCTTCACCAGTATCATTGCTAGCTTTCTTTGGAGCCTTGATTGAGGACTAATGAAGAGAGAAAAAAAAGGCAGTACAATAAAATTGATAAAGAAAAGTACTGTACAACACACTAATGTATACAACATGGCGGTCGACTAAGAAATGATTCCGTTCGGGCTAACTCGGTTCGGCAATGTTGTTCGAGGACCGAAATGTTTGATAACCGAGGCATATTCATCTCGAATATTGTGTTCGAAAACCGATTTGTTCGACATGTGAGACGTTCAAGAACTGAGTTTGCACTGTCAATCCAGAAAGAATAACCAAATTGGAACCCCGAAGTCGGTTGGCTGTCAACACTGACAAGTTTACGGCAACCCCTGCAGCCAAGTAGGCCGCACGGCCCTCATATACCATCGCTCTGGCCAGTACTCTGGAAAGGTCACTCTAGTCTCACCACCGAAGGACTAAATTTTGACCGAACGGAGCGCCTCCTTTATCTGCCGAGATAAACAGACGCCTACTACTTCTCAGGGTGAAATCGATAAATAAAAACGTACCCTCTTTGATCTTAAATGATCTACAAAGAGAGAAATGATGATAAAATTACTTCTTTAGCCTGTGAGAGTTTTTTTTCCCACATCTTTCAAACACTGCAGTTCATGAGGAGGAAGGGAACATTATCCCACTACGCCAACTCAATGCATTACCCATTTATGTACTGACCAGGCTCAACATTGCTTAACTTTGGCGATCGGACGAGATCCGGTGTTTCTACATGATATTGCGGTAAGCTAATTGCACTACTTGCACATCAAAGACTACAGCACTAAGATACTGACAAGGATCGACATTGCTTAACTTTGGTGATCGGACGAGAACTGGTTTTTCTCCATGATATTGCGGTAAGCTAATTGCACTACCTGCACATTAAAGATTACAGCACCAGATATTCCCAAGCGGTCACTCATCCAGCTACTGACCAGTTTCGACATTGCTTAACTTTGATGATCGGACGAGAACCGGTGTTTCTACGTTATATTGAAGTAAGCCAGTTACACCACCCGCACATCCAAGCTTACAGTACCTGATATTCCAAAGCGGTCACTCATTTGGATACTGACCAGACTCAACATTGCTTAACTTTGCTGATCGAACGAGAACCGGTGTTTGTAAATCATATTGCGGTAAGCTAATTTCACTACCTGCACATCAAAGATTACAGCACCAAGCGGTCACTCAGCTAGGACACTGACTAGGTTCGACATTGCTTAACTTTGCTGATCGGACGAGAATCGGTGTTTCTACATGATATTGTGGTAAGCTAATTGCACTACTTGCACATTAAATATTACAGCACCAAGCAGTCACTCATCTATGTAGTGAACAGGTTCGACATTGCTTAATTTTGGTGATCAGATGAGAACCAAGTGGTCATTGATCTAGGTACATCCCAGGCTCGACATTGCTTAACTTTGGTGATCAGACGTGAACCAAGCGGTCACTCTTCCAGGTATTGACCACGCTCGACATTGCTTAACTTTGGTGATCAGACATGAACCGGAGTTTGAAAGTGACATAGATCAAACTAATGGCTAATGTAATTATTGAAAATGTGATGATTTAAAAATGCGACAGAACTTTCTTTCCATTTTTTATTTCCTTTATCTAAATGTGGCTTTTTGTAGTTGTCTGTGTTATAACAATGTTCCGTTTCTCTGATTTCTCATTATGAGGCATTCCCAAGGGTTGACCCTTCTAATCACTGACCAAGCTCGACATAGCTTAACTTCACTGATCAGACGAGAACCTGTGTTTCAACGTGATATGGTGATAAGCCCGTTACACCAGCTGCAAATAAAAAATTACATGTAATGTTACCAACGATCTCTAATTTAGCTACTGACAAGGATCGACATTGCTTAACTTTGGTGAAGTGGCGAGAAATGGTGTTTCTAGGTGATATTGTACTAAGGCCATTAAACCAACCGTACATCAAAGTTTACAGCACCGGATATTCCTAAGCGGTCACTCATCTAGATACTGATCAGACTCGTCATTGCTTAACTTTGCTGATCGGAGGAGAACCCGTGTTTCTATGTGATATTGCAGTGAGCCAGTTACACCACATGCTCATCAAAGATTACAGCACCAAGTGGTCACTCATCTAGCTACTGACCAGCCTCGTCATTGCTTAACTTTGCTGATCGGACGAGAATCGGTGTTTCTACGTGTTATTGCGTTAAGCCCGTTACACCACCCGCACATCAAAGATTACAGCACCTGATATTACCAAGCAGTCACTCATCTAGGTACTGACCAAGCTCGGCATTGCTTAACTTCAGTGATCGGACATGAACTGGTGTTTCTATGTGATATATTTAAAGCAAGAAGGAAAGCGGGAAACAACCTAGAGAGTTTGATTAAATGGATAGTGGGTGAACGTTTAGGAGCGATAACAATTAGACAAAATTTATTAAGAGCTAAAAAGGACAGGAAATTGTGGAGAGCCATGATCTCTACGTCGTCATAGTACCCCGCAAATAAAAGTATAAATTGGCAGATTCTTAATCTCTGCAGACAGTCCGTACAAACTTGGAAACTTAGTAAAATACTTTTGATATTAGTTGGACATTTCTGTACTAATCAAAGCTGAGTAATTATTAACAACTCTTTTCAAAACACTTTCGACCGTCTGTGATCTTTACCCGTTTCTGTTCAGACAAAATAAATATAAGAGAATGGAAAATGGTTACCCACACAATGTCGAAAGCTCTTGGCTGAAGATGTCACAGGTCAAAGAATTCATGGAGATATTTCGGTTACGTATGGAGAGGACACAAAAGCCAATTTTGATCTTGTCCATCGGCAGAGGTCAGGACTTGTTAATCTTGTGAATACGGGTTTTGTTACATAGTGTAACCTGCTTTCATGTTAGCTTTCACCAGATCTCTGTTGGAAGTAAATGCTACCAGGATTACATGCCGGAAATGCTTCTATTCATTCGCTTAATAGTGAAACCATAAAACGCAATCCGTGTTTACTGCATCTGACTATGACTTACAGCCGAAAACAATCTCAACAAGGTTATTACTGACGTGCATATTCCTCAGCTGCCTTCGAAGCACTTGTACGTTATACCTTGAAATCGATGATGACCTGAGGTTTCCTGGTGAAAGATGAACGGAAGAGAGTGAGAAGAGCTGCCCGAGGAAGACGGCTGAAATTCAGTGAAAGAAAAGAATGCCAATAGAACAAGTGACCAATCAAACATGTAACCAGAAAATGACCAGTGGTGTCGCCAAATCGATTGTTGTGTGTTCAGTATATCTGACATCTCCCCAATGACACGAAACCCAATAAGATGTACATATCAATGATATCGTCAAACTACAAAGGTTTCAAAAGATCAGAAAAATCCGCTTTATTAAAACAACTAGCAATGATACCTGGTATAGTCTGGGAAAATTTATTTGCGTTACGCAGCCGTTTCTTTGTTAGCGAGATTTGCGAATATGCTATTAGCAAAATCTTAATAATTTCGAACTTTTGACCTCATCTTTGTTTCAACCACTTATTTGGCCATCATCCTGTGTCCATTGTTTGTCTAATATGGTGTAATTGTTGATTATTGCGTTCTATGCATTGTTTGTCTAATATGGTGTAACTGTTGGGTATTGCGTTTTCTGCATTGTTTGTTTAATATCGTGTACCTGTTGATTATTGCATTTTATGCATTATTTGTCTAATACGTTGTAACTGTTGATTATTGCGTCTTATGTCAGTTATTTTCCGTTTTCAATGTAACACGAAAAGTGCCCGACCTGTTATATATATATATATTTAAGCATTTCACCCCAAGCATGGCAGGAGTGCCACTAGTACGCAAGGGGTTACAGAGGGTGAGAACAAGAATAAAGAGGAGTGTTTCAAGAAAGGAAAAAGAGAAAGACGAGGAACAAGATCAAGGCATCAGAAGATGTCGATTGACATTACACTTGAATATTCGAAGATTATAGCTATCAGGGAAGCAAGTAAGAGGAAGGGAGTTCCACAGACGGGAAGTACGAGAGAAGAATCTGTTGGGGTAGAAGAGACAGTGAAATGGTAGGACAGATATGTCAATCTAGTAGTACGCTTAAATTCATGCAGTCTCGGAATAAGCGAAAGTAATCCGTCGAACCAGTTGCCGTGAAAATATTTGTAGAAGAGACAGAGGGAAGCTACGACACGTCTGTGAGAAAGTGACGAGATGCCAGATTCGGACCTATCACGCTGCATATCTGTCTTTAGATTTTGTCGAGGACCTCGAGGTGAACAGCGGGGACATTAGACCATATATGGCAGCAGTATTCCATGCAATGGCGAATGGTTGATTTATAGATTTGAAGGATAGAATCAGGCGAGAAAAAACTTTCTGGCACAACACAGAGAATCAACTTTCCTGGCGGAAGCTGGTATGACAGCAATATTCAGATACCAGAGAGGTAATTTCACCGGAACTATTATGATGAGAACATTTCTGGAACAGATAGAAGAAGGCGGTATTACAGCCGAGATGTCAGATTCTTCTTGAAATTTTCCAGACTTTCAGAATGCACAAGTGAAGCACTAGAAAAAAAACCAGTTGTAATAGCAGTTCTCATACCTCGTTGTAATTTCTGTATAAACAACATTTTCAGCAAGACATCAATTTTGTCAAGTTCCTTTTGTCATTAGGCAATACTAGACTAGTCCTGGGTATGACGATAAACTACATCCGACAGCAAGGCCCATGATCAGAAGATTGGATGTTTTTAGAAGCTGTTATTTCCAGTTCCACCTTGACCCAGGTTTGTAGCACCTGTTAGGGTCCTAGATATGGAAAAATACTGAACACTCAAACATAACACTATGAAAGTATAAATATACATTTTATATTAAAAATACCAGCAATAAATTTTTATATAAAAATAATTAACAATACGTACATACTAACAAATTGTGGTGACTTCAGCCAAATCAATTTAAAATATGATAATTAATCTATATATTATCCTACAATTTTTAAAGAAATCAAACTGTATTTCAAAATATAACATGAGCAAAATTACACCATAAAACACACATATCATCGCCTTTAGTAATCATGTCCACATTAACATGTATATACACAAAAGCAGGGTATCATTTACCATGTATTCAACTGTGAAAGCAAAATAACACATCATATTTTTATTACTTCAAAGCTACCAAGAGAAATAAATTTCCACATTGAATGACCCATAAGGAGTTGATATGCCATTAAACAGACAAATCAATCAATCAATCGATACAAGACCAGAGACAAACATTAGAGTGCATTAATGTTAATAATAATGATTAAACGTTTAAGCCTACTATTGTTTCATTTCTTTAGATTATTCAGTACCGTTTTAAGAAAATATTAAAAAGATTTTGGAAAGAAATACAAACTAAACGTACTTTTTAACTGGGATAATACTGTAAAAAAAATTTCAGTTTCTCTCGACAATTTTGTCGTAATGTGAAATGTCAGACATCAACAATGGTTATTCTGAACGCTGCAGGATAATGACTGCCTAATGATGTTGTCGGGGATAAATTTATAGATTTCTATAACAATTTTAATATTTTTCTTAATTATTTAATTGATTTCTGCTTGCAAAAAAGAATTTTTAGAAGACAAGATTAGATTTATTAACTTATTTTTTAATAGACACAATATTTCCGACTGAATTTAACAAGTCATATGTAAATTCTTTCTATACCTACGCGAGTAATTTAAAAAGAAATTACTTACGAAAACATCGTTCATATATGGCAATTTTTAAACCTTGAATCAAAAATATAAAACTCAGATGAAGTATTTATTAGTATATTTATTAAATTATGCTATTAAAAACATTTAAGCACACATATATCAAAGCTTATGTCAATATTTATGAGATGAGCTATTGTAATTATTTACACAGTTTATATTACTCGGAGAGTTGTTCTTATCTTTATTGGCATATTCACGACGTTTCAGTCGTTATACGCTCTGGCATTCTTCAGTATCTGTGTATACTTCTGAGATGAGTTATTGTAACTATTTACACTATTTATATCGTTCGGACTGTTGTTCCCAGTTATGAATAGAAACATTATAATGTACATGGATATAAGGTCTGATGATAATGACAGTGTAATTGTATTTTTCGAAGTTATGAATGGAAACATTATAAAGTCCTTGGATATAAGGTCTGATGATAATGACAGTATAATTGTATTATTCTAAATTATGAATGGAAACATTATAAAGTCCTTGGATATATGGCCTGATGATAACGACAGTGTAATTGTATTGTTCTATATTATGAATGAAAATGTGATTATTTAAATATCCTTCGATACAATCCCTTTATTTCGTCTGCATCTAACATTTTTGATATAAACATGAGTTTTACATACTTTACATTTCTTCAGGAATATGACGCACCCCCACGCGCGCGCGCGCATACTGAAAATAGTATTCCTTAGATGACAAATCGGCACATATGCACACCCACAATACCGCCATAAAGTTTAACCACTTGATTATCTACCCGATCAATAGAAATAAAAGGAATCAAATCCGAAACGTTCTCTGCTTTCCCCTCATTCTTCCAAATTCTGATGAAGCTACAATAAAAATACCGAAACGTGTTAAATTTATAAAAGCATTCCTTTTTTTATACTTATGTAATAAAATTTGATTGTGTCAGTAATTTAATTTAATTTGGATGGTTTCAGTGATAAGATGAGGGATTCCATTAGGGCATTAAAATTTATGGTAGAGTGGAATCAAGGAATATCGAGCAAAGAATGATGCCTGACGACTGTTGGGTCTTAAAAAGGGACACAAATCTCGTAAGTATTCACGAATATCAAATAAGCGAAAGTTCTTGCTTTGTCCACCGATTTCTGTCAATATTCGAATTTTAATCACTTATTTTGTTATTTTTGTTTCGTATTTTTAAAGTGTTTTATTCCTAAGAAAAAATAAATGCTTATTTTAAAGCTTAAACAAAATGAGCATTTATTTTTTTCTTTACATTTACAATGACATAACCTAATCCATATTTTCGTATTCTGTAGCAGGAAAAGTAAAGCTAATGGTTGATAATGGACGTTGTTTTCGGATTTAGCACTCGAGAACTATCCAGACATCGCCAAAAAATCCTATACACAATTTCGAAGAAAAAACTGTTGACCAGAATACTTGATCGAAGGCAGATTAAATTGATTGAGGCGATTAATTTAGTTGTGTGCAGTGATGGATGGACATGTATTTAAAGACAAGCACTATAAGGGATAGGGAATGGCGGAAAGCCATATCAAAGAAGAAGAAA